CGGCTGCTTCAAAATGCTCCTTTTACTATCCCTTTTAATGTCCGTGCCTCCGTGTTTTCCGCCCTTATCCTTAGCTTCGAGCAAAACATGCTTTTTTACTCCCAGCAGCCCTTTTTGGTGCATCGTGGCCACGTCTTTATCGACGCATTCGACCGGTTCGCCAAAGTGCCAGACAGCCCTGACATGTTTAGCGTGCGGTTTAGAGACACGAACAATCTTGTGGAGGAGGGCTACGGTGAGGGCGTGTACCGCGAATTTCTTGTGAATTTATGTACCGAGGGATTTGCCGCCGAGTACGGCATGTTTCGTCAGACCGAAGACGGCGAAGTGTACCCCAACCCGTTTAGTTATGAAGTGACTGGGGACCCGCAGCACCTGCGGCGCATCACGTTTCTCGGCGCCATGGTGGGTCGGTCACTGCGAGACGGGGTTGTGCAGGACATTCCTTTTGCACCCCACTTCCGAAACGCAATTCTTGGCCGCAGCAATTCCATCAACAACTTAAAGAGCTTTGACCGGGAGCTGTACCGCCAAATTATGTCTCTGCGCTCAATGAGCGAGGAGGAAATTGAAAATCTGTCACTGACATTTACGTACACGGTGGATATATTGGACGAGGTGCGGGAGGTGGAGCTGCTGCGTGGCGGGAGAGACATTCCGGTCACACGCCGCAACTGCTTGAACTATATTCACCTCCTTGCAGGCTTTAAGCTGAACCACGAGTCTGCCCGCCAGACCAGGGCATTTCTGGAGGGCCTGGGAATGATTGTAAATCTCAGTTGGCTGAAATTATTTGATGGAAAGGAAGTTATGAAGCTTTTTGGCGGGGATGCTGAGAGCGCCATTGATGTCTCGGATTGGAGAAAGCACACGCAGTACCACCGTGCGGACGACGAGGAGAGTGCGCCTGTGCATGTCTTCTGGCGGGTGGTGGAGGCCATGTCTTTGGAGGAGCGGAAAAGACTACTGAAGTTCACCACATCCATGAATCGGCCCCCATTGCTTGGGTTTCAGTTTCTCAATCCCCCGTTCAAAGTGCACGTTGAGTGGGACGCATCAGAGGAGCGGCTACCATCTGCGTCAACGTGTTTTTCCACACTGAAGCTTCCGCCATACAAGGACTTTAAGACCGCATTTAGTAAAATTACGGCAGCGATTGAGGGAACGGAAGACTTTGGTCTCACATAATTCGTTTTGAACAGAGATGTTGTGGTGCGTATTTACGCCTATGCATATATATATATATATGAATACAGCGAACGGAGGTGAGATGTACAATGTGACGGGTACATTACCTTTTATTTCCCTTCCATCACTAGTACCACCACTAGCACTACGACTACTACTAATACCACTGATGAAACGTACATTTTTTTTTTTTTATAGTTTTTGGTGTTTTTGTTCTTCTTTCTTCCGTGAGTGAGAAGAAAATACTCACCTCCTCCTCCCAGAAAAAAAAAAACGAAAAGAAAAAAAAAAAAGGGAGATTTTTGAATGCTTGCTCCCCAAACATTTCTATTGTCACAATCCCTTTTGGTCCACACTCATATTCACCGCTGGTGCGTGTGTGTGTTTGCTTCTCCCCCCGCACACCTTCTTCTATTGTTTTTGCCATATGTGCATACCTATCGATCTATATATTTTAAATGTCTCCGCTTTTTTTTTTTTTTATTGCTTGTCTTCTTCAGGTATTTTGGACTCCACCGCGTCTTGTACTCTCCCTCCTTTCTTGTTCTCCACCTCTGGGGAAAACTGGAGCTGGAAGTCTTTTCTGGCGCATTAACCACGTGAATTGCACCCAGGCACCATCTGTAGGGGATGCTTCACGCTTCAAGGCTTGCTTGGGGCCCCTTCGTCCTCAACACCCGCGTGATTCCTGACTGGTGGCAGTCGTTCCAGAGGGAGGATCAGCACCGGGTGGCTCGTGCTCGCGCCACGCAGCTCCGCACACCTCGTGACGAGAGCAGACAGAACGACGTCACTCCCATCACGTTGCGCGAGGCGGACGAACTAGTCAAGACATATACACGAAACCACAACGCAGAGGATCTCAGTTGGATTGTGCAGTACATTCGAGAAACGATGGGGGAGCCGCTAAATCTCCTCTATTATCACTCCCTTTTTCGTGTTTTTAATTACACTCGGGATAAGGAGAATATTGAGCAACTTCTTCATGTCATTACAGAAAGTGGGGAGGCGGACATGGGTACATACGCCCTTGTGGTAGACGCCCTGCACTGCTTAAGCCCTGTAGATACACTCGCACGGATTATGCGCATGATCGCCGTCACCCAAACGTCATTTGGAACTCTGCTATCTGAAAGCGGTTGCCCGTTGTTAACGTCATTGCTTCACCATTTGGCGAACACCGGCAAGTATCCGTCTACTGCGAGTTTGCTTGTGGTGCTTTGGATACGGGCATTGGGAGCCCAGCTCTGTGATTGGGACTATGTACATGTCTTATCAGCGTTGCTTTCGCATCCAGACGACTTTCCTCAGATAAGAAGCGCTTTGGGTGCTTTTAGCGATTTTTCTCGAGGCACTGTAAGCCCCGAGGCCCTTTTTAGGCGACTGGAGGACCGTGGGGAGCTGTCGCCTCCCTCAAGTCCACTCAACACAATTGTTGCTGCGATGCGAGTATCACTTTCACAGGCAGGCGTGAATCTTGAGGAACCCGTTTCGAATTGCGTCATCAACACGAGAACCGCCGGGCTGCCATCCATGGTGGAACATATTGTGAATGATATGACCTCTGTTGCCACCAGCGGAAAATTTAACGGTGATCTTTTGAGCTGCTACCATGTGCTTGCGTTGCTCTATAGTACCCTTAGAAATGATACCGCAGCTGTGGAAACACTGCGATATGTCGCGCGCGAGATAAGACGCCGGGAGCGCTCTGTCGAATATGACGGTGGAAATGCGGCCTTGGCGCCAATTGGTGAATATGTGCACCACCACTACCTGATGGACATTGGCAGTGTTCTCAACCGTGTCAGCATGAGAACACTGCAGCGGGCACGGGCGGATTACGCCCATTTGGCCCAGAATGCGAGTTCTGACGTCTCGGAGAATGATGTTGTGGCGGCTGAGAGCTACGCGATTCTCTTTGTACGTAGCAACGAGGAGGCGGAGGAGGCGCTTCGACAGGCATCGCAGAGTGTTGACTTGTCAAGTCAGCGTACACGACTTTCCACGAAGCTGTTATTTCGAAGATTTGTCGAGCTTTGTGCCCGGCACCCAAAGCGGAACTGTAAGCTCACGCCCGTCGGTCTGGAGGAGCGGCGGAAGTGGGGCAGGTATCTTGACGCGCGAGATACCTCACTTGCCCTCTTTGGTTCCGCAAAGCAGGCGCGTGATTCCATGAAACACTTGTTCTACAATGACAACAAGCTGCCGGAGCTGCGCAGCCACGCAATGATTGAGCGGGACATGAATGACACAGCGGCGTTGTTTAAGTGGAGGCGGGCCCCAACCATTGCATCGCTACGGGTACGTTCCTCCCTCCCTCATGTACGTTGTCCAGCGGATCCTGTGCCCCGTCATCTGTGGGATCCGGATGTATACAACCCCTATCCACAACTCATGCTGCAGATGAGCCCCATGGATGATGAGCGCGTTACGGAGGATATCTTTCAGGAGTTATGGCATGTTCTCATGAATCCATCGGTGGTTGGAACAGATCAGTGGTACTTGCGTGACACGGAAATGTATCTGCTTCTTTTGCGGTGTCTCATTCATCGGCTTGATTGGGAGGCGGCGGTTCACCTGACACTCAAGACAATGGAAAACCTAACATACACCTACATGATGGATCACGAGGTAACGTTAATGTTTAAAGAAATTGGTGACCCCGCTGGTTGCCTAGCGTTTAAGGTGGCAACCAAACTCTTTGATGGACGTATTATCAAGGACGGCCAAAGTAAGCGGGAAAAGTTTCACCAGGAACAGTTTGGCGAGGTTTGAGGGAAAATGAAAGAAAGCTGCTTTGGTGTGGGTGGCAAGGCAACTGGCCTGGTTGTTGTTTAGATAGACACAAACTCACATTCATTACTTCTTTTTTTAGTTATCTGCTTTTTTTTTCTTTTTCTTATTCCATTTATTTATTTTACTTCATTTTTTACAAGCAATGGCTACAACTGATCCGCAGCCACAGCAAGAGCCAGAATGCACTGAGGTGAGCCCCTCTTTGACGGCAGTGACGGTCTTTAGGGATCGGGCGCAACTCACTTACGTCGCCAGCGCCTCGCTTCCTGTTGGGGCGCACGTTATTTCCATGAAGGGAGAAAAGGGTTGGGAGAGTGTCTTGCGGAACACACTTCAGGTTCATCTGGAGGGGGCAGAGAATCAGCAGGTGGTGATGCGAGGGGTCCGCTTCAGGACTCACGTCACCAAGGAGGACGTGCGGGAGCGGGTCCGGGAGCTTGAGAAGGCACGGGACAAGGTTCGGGAGCTAATTGACCAAATTGCCGACAAGAAGGCGGCGAACGACGCCGTTGAAGCCGCACTGAAAAAGATGGAGGAAAAGCTCCTTATCATGGGGGAGTGCGGTGTGGGGCCAGAAGTACGTGCAAGCATGGGTCCCATGGTCGGGTTTCTTTCAAAACCGGAATCCTGGTCAGAACTGGTCCGTTTTATTACTCGCCGCAAGCTGGCACTGGGAGAGCTCCGCTTGAAGCTTTCACGGCAACAGGATAAGCATGAGGAGGAAGAGAATGAGATAATAAAGAAGTTGGACGAGCTCACCGGAGGTAGGCATAAAGAACGGCAGGAAACATCGGTGGAGGTCATGATTTCTGTTTATGCACCGCATGTGAATTTAAAGCTTGCTGTGAGTTTTGTCGCCATGGGCGTCTCGTGGACACCGTTGTATGACATCCGTGTGGATCCAGAGCGGTCCGTAATGGACGTGACGTACCACGCTCAGGTATGTCAGGGCACCGCAATGGACTGGAACAAGGTACTGATGAAGCTCAGCACAGCTACTCCCCACTTCAGTGCAGCTCCGCCAGTGCTCAAGGAGTGGAATATCAGCTTGGATCCACCAAAGTTCCCTGTGGGGTTCTCACGTTTTTTGTCACGTTCACTTCCTTCCAATAACCGAAGAGAGAGGGGTAATGAGGAGGCATTTCCAAGACCACAAGCCGCCCTAGTAGAGCAAGCAGTTGTTTCGTCTTCCTCCACATCCAGCACATTTCAAATTGTCGGCCTGGCCACTGTGCGGAGTGACAACAAGCCGGTGAAGGTCACCATCGCCACGCACACATTTCCCGTGAAGCTGGTGTATCATGCGGTGCCGAAACTTAGTCCGTGGACGTACCTCATTGTTAAGGCAAAGAATACGAGTCCATACGTATTCCTCTCCGGAAAAGCAAATGTTTTTGCTAATAACACCTTTGTAAGCAACTCACAGTTGGAGCTTGTTCCGGTTGGTGCAGAATTGACGATGTCAATTGGTACAGATGATGCTGTGAAAGTAACACGGAAACAAGTGAAGCGGGCTAAGTCTACTCTACATGCCATGCTGCGCAACCGAAAAAAAGTCATTGAATATGTGTACGAATTTACCGTGAAGAGCTCATTGACGGCAGAGGCGACCTTGGTGGTGAAGGACCAGTGCCCCGTCTCCTCGCACAAGGAAATTACGGTGAGACTCATTGAACCAAGCAAGAATATGCTAACTGAGTGTGCGAAAGTGGATGACAACGACTGCAGTGTGGATAACGGAGGCATCGTGGAATGGCGATTGCAACTGCCATCTGGGGTATTCACGCGTGACTTTCGTTTTGCCTTCCAGGTGGAGCACAATGAGAATATGGATGTCAGTGGCCTCGACGTGGAAGACTGACCAGACGATGAGAGGAGACAGAAAAGGAAAAAAAAAAGTGGAGACGTAAATGAAATGGGGAGGGTTGGGGGGAGGGGGGGGGAAACGATTGGATATTTTCAGACAAAAAAGTGCATTTTTATTTTTATTTTTTTTTGTGTGAGGGTGGGTGGCCACCGACAAGGCCGGATTTTTTAAAAATTTTATTGTTAATTTGTGTTTTATTTATTTATTTTTGTTGTGTTGGGAACTACAACAGCTTGAAGGAATTACGGCTCTGTTGGGTTTGTTTGTTGGTCCCTTGCGACAATACTGTTTGGATTGGTATTTTTTTTTTTTCTACTTTCCACGAATTGTTTTTACGCATTCCACACGCGGGCCCACGGAAGAAGAACAACAAAACAAAGGCGGGAGCACTTTTGAAGGAAGTTTGGAGGACGCTGCTGGTTGTTGTTTCCAAGTGGCTGTGCGAAGGAGGACGGCGAATTGGCAGCGTGGGCAGGAAACGAAGGCGGGTGCGAATTTCTGGCGGCAAGAATGGAGGAGCTGCAATGCAGCCTCCTTGGGTTTTCGTCCACGTTGTTTCCCCTCGCTGCTTGTGCGACACGGCGGAGTTGTGGAGGTACTGGCGGAACGCAGACATCCGCTGTTTTGTCGCAGCTACATCTATCGGAGCGTGCGTTGGTTGAAGACGCTTTACCGCTTGGGGCAATGTGCCGCGCCTTGCGCAGTGTGGCAACGGACATTGCAGTGGGCCGTACCGAAGGACTGTATCTCTCGGCCATTGGAGCCGCCATCACAGGGATACTGGAGCACTATGAGAAGGCAGTCCAGAATGCAACCACAGCAACTGCTGTGGCTGGACTTCGCCCTGTGTACTTCCCTGCCTTCACACTCCTGACGGAGATGATAGATCAGCAGAAGAGTACAGATGCTATTCTTTTTACCATCCGATCTTTTGTGTTGAATCGGGAGATTCCACAGGAGTTTAGGGTGTGTCTTGGGGAATCTGTGTGGATGGGTCTTCTTTACACGATTGCACACTACATTGCCCATGGTGTCGTATTGCACGGTCGGAAGGACTTCTTTATATCTGTACGGTCCAAGGGAGGAAAGGAGGATCACACATTGCACACTGATCTTCTCCCGCATGGAATTTCAGTGGAGCTTGGCATGCTGATTCTATCCGTTGGCAAAGAGCGACGTGTGGTGCTTAGTGAATCCGAGAGTCACGGCAGGGAATACCTTGAACAACTAGCGTTGGGGGCACATGACGAGACGGCAAATACCGTTTTCAAGGCAATCTACAACTCGTCGCTTTGTGCTGGTGGCTTTTTGGCGGCTGACGAGTTGGAGACACGTATTGAGGCAGCTCGGGCTCTGTGGTCAAAGACACTTTGGCTGAAAGTAGGTGAACAGGCAGCCTTGCATGAAAATCTTGTTGCTTTGCGTGCGGTATTTTTGTGTCACCGGGGGGATCTCTGGCATGCCTTTGTGGAGTCTGCTTTCCCAGGTCTTGTCGACAGTGCGGTGCAAAAGACCATCTTGAAGGAAGCAGCTATTGGACGGGTGGTGGCGGATGCCTTTGTGCATGCATTGAGTGTATCCGGCTTGGGTGACGCACCTATTTATGAGCGATTTAGTATGTTTATTGTCCTTCCACTGGAAATTGGTGATAGCAAATTGCGTTCGATTGAGGAGACTGCGCGGACTATTCTTGGATATATGCGAGGTCTTGGGCTCCACTACGTCATGCCTCGGGGACTTCACTTGGTGTTGTCGACAAAGGCATTGGAATACTATCAAAGGATTTTTTCTTTTCACATTGCCAGCCGATTTTCACTGCATGCGCTGCACAACGTTAGACATGTTTTTTCAGGAGCTTTTGTGACGAATAAGCAACCATCAGCCGAGCTCCGTCGCACCTTTTTGTTGATGCAACTGCTGTTGTTCCTTCACACCACATTGGGCTACCACATGCAGGTGGATGTAATTCTGCTGCAAACCGCAGAGCTTGAAAAGGCAATGGAGAAATGCAGAAGTGTACAGGACGCAAAAAAGTGCCTTGATCGTTACGTTTGGCACGTTGCAGAGGGATCTTTCATAACGGAGGGTTCAGGTCCTCTGTTATTGGCTTGTGAGTCTCTCTTCCAGTGTTCCATCGCTCTCTACGTCCTTTGCACGCGCTACCGCTTGACATCGTGGGCGGTGGACGGAGTGTCGATTCCCCTCGAGGTCTCTGCAGCGCTGGCCGCGTTGGAGACACGAGTGCACCAAGATGTCGTGGCGGCCTTCACTGGCCATCTTTCGGGCTCCGCAACACGTGCGACGGAGCGGGCCTTGTGGGCTAGGCTTGATTTTAATCGTTTTCTCTCCGCTGGTGTGCGTTTTAATAATAGAAAGACGGAGTTCCCACAGCCCACTGCAGCGAAGACGAGAGCGGTTTCAGGGGTGCGAGCAGCATCAGCAGCAGCCCAAGCAACGATTAGGGGAGGAGTGGCTTCGGCACACGATGCGCCTGCGAGCCGCAGACGTATGGATCTGCTGCCACGCGCCGCCCCCTCCACGTCGAATTCTACACGTGGGTGACGTCTGTGTGTGTGTGTGTGTGTTTTCTACCGTTTTTGCTCCGCCTTGCTGCAATGGTTGGGTGATGATGGCGGCGAAGTGTTGGGAGAATTTTGTTGCGTGTAGAGGGAAAACCACATTTTTTTTTTTTTTTTGCATTTTATTCATTAATTTTTTTTTGGCTGTTGTTTCGTTTCCCTCCTTTTTTCTTTTCCGTTGCTCGCCAAACCACCTCGTCTCTTCAGTGCCACACCTGTTCTCGGTGGCTGGAAAGTAAGGGGGGCGCAGGGGGCCGAGGCTCCTTACTCTTTATTGCAATCTGCAACATTTTTTTGGATGGGCTGCGGGGGCGGTTGGATGCAGGCAACGTGAGTTACTCCGTCAATTCACCCACATCCAACCCAACAGGATGTGTGTGATTTAGAACCCGAACTGGATGTTGCCAGGTCACACAGGGGGAGAACAGGAGGGTGTCATTTCTATATATTCCTTCCCCCGAAGGAAATCATTTTACTCGCGAGATTGCAGAGTACGTGGGAGAAAAGCCGGCGGAACTTATACTCGTACCGCAGCACTTCCTTCTTGGTCTACCCAAGCCTTTGCGTCGAATGGATTCCGGATCGTTGACCTGAGGTTTCAGGGCAGGGTTACACTCTGCGGTTTCTTCTTGTGGGGTACTTGGACACTTTGTGGCGGGCAAAATTGTGCGCATGCCATGAGGATGGCTTTGCTCTAATGAAGCCTACGGGACGACGGCAGGGGACGCATTGGCGGATAATAGTGCCAATGTCACAGTAGAAGAGGCAGTGGGAGCTGATTTTGATGCACGATTTCAAGGTGGGCGGAGTCACTGTTTTGTGGGGCCAAGTACTCCCTGTAGAGGAAATGGCGCTGGAAGTAAAATGTGTGCCACAGGCGACAGACATCATTGCTGTGCAAACATTCACAGGGTTTGTGGGCGGATACAATTTTTTTCAGAGCCATGGAGAAGGGAAATGTGGTGTGACTGTGCCTGGCGCTCTTCTTTTTGGGCACAGGACGAATGGTTTTGCAGTGGGCTGGGATGCTGTCAAGGAAGATTATCTGGCGAATGCTGCACACGTTAGATATTCATCTTCTTGGGATGTCCTTGAGCGACCCACCGCCACTAACGATGGGGAAGAGGAGATGGTAAAAGACCGGACATAAAACCGTTCCGCAGAATGGCTGCAGATAAAAATATGGTGACGGATTTCTTTTGGCGTGCATCCCAGGCTTATCCACTCTTCTCAATAGGCAAGCATAAGGCACCGCAACTTGTGGGACAAAAGGGGGCAAAGCATTTTGTTGCTTATGTCTTTGCGCACATTATGGTGGTGTTGCCCCCGCACAACCGCATCCCACCGCTGTTTTCCCGGTTGCCACTGCTGGTATGGGAAATATGTCACGCTTGGGGAGACATCTGACAAGAGCAAAAGAATTGGCTTCTCTTGTTGAGGTATCGTGGTAGGAGCATCACGGGTCTTCAGTGGGACCACACGGAAAAAATGCGGTGAGGATAATCTCGTTTGAGACGTTCCTTCTGCAAATATTTGGACACTTGGGGCGCGCCACAGATGCAACATGGAGCAGCGAAGCGGAGGATGCATGGCTTACGGCCTTTACGGGCATCGATGAACGGGTTGCATCTGCATTGTCCATTGAGGAGCGTTGCGCTGGATTATGTTTTTACGGAGAGAAGTGACAGTAAAAGAAAAAATGTGAATGACGGTGTGGGTTGTGAAGATGAGTGGGTGGAGGATGGAGGAACCAGCAATGGCGAAGCAGAGAGTGAATGAATGTGGTGCAAAAAGTGACATGTTGGTGGATGAATTAAGGATGCGTGTGGGGAAACGCCCATCAACAATAAGGGCAAGACTTCAAAAAACATGACTGCTCCATGTGTTATTATTATTATCATCATCACCATCATTACTGTCATTATTATTATTATTATTCTTTTTCCACCCGGTACACATCACACACAGAGACTCATATAAATGGAGTCTTCCACAGGTGCTAATGAGGGCGCTGGTGAGGAAGAGCGAAATGTGCGCCGGCGACTCTCTAGTCCCACACGTGAAGTCGGAGAAAAAAAGAAGCAAAAGGAGCATTCTGTGGAGCCGTCGTCAACGCGGGAACCTTTGCCTTCTTCTTCCCCCTTTGAAAAGAAGGCAGTGAGTGGTCTTTTCTTTATCGTCACGGAGGAAGGTGCATGGCGTAAGACGATGTTCCATGCGAACTCGTCGCAATTTGCCGAGGCGGAACGGTGCTGGGAGGAACATCGCACCACGGGAAAAATGCATCACGAGCCCCCGTGGCGAGTTTGCTCCGTGGCTGAGGACAACCGCGAGCATCCGTACTACGTGCGGTGGCTAGACACCATGGAACTTCCCCCGCTGGAGGAATTACTAAACAAGAAGAGTGGCAGCGACGGTGCCACTGAGAAATGCGGCGGCGATGGCGTGGGGAAATGACCGTGTGTGGAGAGGGAGAGCCCACAAAGTAGAAACCCACACACCCACAAAAGAAAAAAAAACAAGAGAAAAAAATGAGAGGCATTTGCTTCTGCGGTCTGGCGTTTAATCCGTTTGTGAAACGACGAAGAGGGGAGTGGACTGAAGGGGATGTGTACATTTGTTCTTTTGATTTTTGCAGCAAAACAGATGAAATCCGAGGGTTGGACCTTGCACTTATTTAAAAGCTGCCGCTCCTTTTCTCCTTCAGCCACAGTTTGGACCCTAAAGGCGCACGCACAGAGACGAGATTTCATCTCTCACTTCACAGACATGATATTTTCTACCATTCCACTACATCTTCTCCCTCTCCTTGTTGCCAAAAAAAAAAAAAAAAGAGGAGCAAAAACTTAAAAGAACGAATAATAAACGAAGGTTCAGATGCGGCGTGTCCTTTTTTCAGCTGCTCTTTCTCTTGTCCCAAAGGCACCACTTTTCCGCCGCTGTGTTCCCTCGGTGGCAAAAGCGGCATCCATGGGTCCCCTTGTGGCAATGGAGCAGCGACGCCTCGCATCACACGCTGCGCTTTCCAGTGCTCTCCGTCACGAACTGGAAGAGGAGCAGCAGCGCTCCGAAAAGCCTGCAAAGCCAGAACTTCCAGCAGGCTGGACGTTGGAGCGAAAGCCCGGCCAGATGCTCTTTACAATGCGTAAAAAGCATGAGGACGAGGAGATTATCATCCGTTGCCTTGGTGAGGAATCGGGCGATGATGATGTCGTTTCACTCGATTTCGATGCATATATTACGTGCAATAACAAGGCGTTGGTGTGCCGAATGAGTTTTGAGAGTGAGGAGGTCATCATGGGGCAGGTATCCTTCCTGGATGACGCAAAGCTGGCATTAGATGACTCGGTGGAGGGGAACCGGAAGCGCCAGTGGCTGTACAAGGGCCCCAAATTGGACGAACTGGACGAACGCCTCGTTGACTCCCTGACGAGTTACCTCAAGGACCGGGGTGTAAACGAGGACTTGTGCAGGTTCATGGAGGAGTACTTCTTCTGGGCGGAGCAGGCAGAGTACGAGGAGTGGCTCAGTGCAATCAACCGCTTTGTGTCGTAAGTTGTTCCCCACGGTGTTTTTCTCCCCGTTTCTTTACGGCCTTCCCCCCTTCCGCTACCCTTTTTATGTTTCCTCTTGCGCTTACGATTCACTCCTTATTAACGTCGATGGGTGCACGTTAAGCTCACCAGGGTGGGGGGCTGCCGTCCGTCCCACAGGCGCATGAGTGGGTGGGGAGAGGACGGAGGAAGAGAAGGCGGCGAAGGAAAAGGAAAAAAGAAAAAAATATTCACGGGGTAGTTTTCGCTGATGGAAACTCACAGTCGAAGGCAAACACACAAACACAAACACACGACAATAATGAAAAACAACAACAACAACAACAACAACAACAACAGCCGAAACAAATAAAAAAAAAGAAAAATTAAAAGGAGGAGGATTTTTTATTTACACTTCTATTTTATTATTACTATTATTAACATCATACATAAATATATGCGTGCATACATGCCTAAATGACGGCAATATGCACACACATATATGTATACATCCATATTTCTTTCTGGTAATTAGCAAAAAAAAAAAAAAAAAAGAAAAAGAATTTTTTTTTTCTTTTTGTATGCGGTTAGGAGGGTGAATTGGCACGGCAGTGAGATTTATTCAATAAATGCTTTTTTGGTTTCTGCGTGTAATGCCACTGGTACCATATTGGATGGGTATGATTCCCCTGCCTGTGTGTGTGTGCGTGTGTGTGTGTGTGTGTGTCGGTACCTGTGGTGCATCTATTTGAAAAAGGAAAGAAGAATAAATAAATAAATAAATAAATATATTTGTGTAGGGGAAGGGGCTGTGTTTGTTTTTGTTTTGGTGAGATTTATTTTTTTATTTATTACCAAAACATTTTTATTTTTATTTATTTTTTTTTGATGTTGTCTTTTTTTCCCTTTATGAGGCGAAATCAGGATTACGAAAACTGCGTATATTTATATATAAATTTATATAAATATTTTTATAATACGCACGTACATCAGATTATAATCATTATTTATTTCAAGGGATGCTCCACCAAGCTGAGGAGTACGTGGGGGCAGTTCCTCTTATTATTTTCCTTAGTGACACGGACTGCACGGTTCAGGAGAAGCCAGCACCACTGACGTATGTGCTCCCACGAAGTTCTGTGCTAATGGCTGTGCGAAGCGAAGTACAAAACTTCTTTTCCTCCTACACCGTTGTGAAGGCCGACGCATTACCACTTGTGTGGCTGACGTGGAGGGGTGAGCCGGTGCCATGGCACTACCCCATAGGAGCAATCAAAGACAGCATCAACGCACTGTTGATTGCGGAACGAGGCAATACGGCTTCGAGGGCATACCACACCGAATCATCGCCGCTTTCCCCGGCTGAGTTGTACCCCACAGTGTTTGGCTCCCCACTTATGTTGGAGGTGCGCATTACATGCGTGACCGCGGAAAGGCCGTTGGCGGTGCCCTTTGCTGGACAGGAGGAGGCTCTTTCTCGTCGCTCAACAGACCAGGCAATGGGCGAATTCTTGAAGCAGGTGATAAAAGGAACCTTTTCCGCCATGTACGGCAGCATTAAGGCACTTATGGATGTTCGTAGCGAAGTTATTAATGACTTGCTGAACTTCGCCACGTGCATATCTGTCGGAGATCCATTCGTGCAGGCTTTGAGAGCCTACAATGAACGCATTGTGGGGTTGCGACGACTGGCAGGGAAGCCAAAAAACGTGGCTGTCATGATCAACAATCCATTTGGTAAGAATTCCATGCATTTTGCGCTTTTTCGCGTTCCTCTTGGGGTTTCTGGAGTGGGCGATGACAAATTTACTCACGATAAATTCGAGAAGGCACGATCATGCGTGGAAAGCAACAATAGTAACTGCAGCAAAGACCACGAACCCAGCAATCCTTCGGACAAATTAAGCGGTGACGTGAAGCCCAAGGAGCACCCACTGGAAACCCCCTTTGGAATGGTGGTTTGGCGGGCTCTCCTTGAGCCGTATTTAAAATGGCGAAATCTCAATGGAGAAGACGGCGCCAATTCGACATGTGCCGAACCCTTTTTTCGTGCTATCTCTCCTTTTTACAATGGCTTGGATACTAGTGCGTCCGTGAACGCTGCGCTCTCTTCTCCTGCAGCCGATGCACTTGCGAATGACTTTATTGCAGCGGGCGATGCAAATACGGAGTTGATTGGGATTCGAGTGACAATTCCCGCAACGCCTCCCCAAGAACGACGCCTCTGCCTTATCGTTCAGGGACTGCAGCCGCCGCTGTGCACCCCGGTGGGATATCTTCTTGACCGTTTTGCTTCTGCGGATGGTCGCTTGTACGTGACGTTGGCGGCTCTTTGATGGTGTGTAGCCCTTTACTGCTGCTGTTTTTGAATCATCCGTGCGTTTTATCCAAGGAAAGGAAGATTGGGGGAAAAAGGGACAAGGAATATTTCTTTGCCTTTTTTTTTTTTTTTTACTCCTCTCTTTGGTGTCTTCTGTTGCTCTTGGTGTGCGTATTTGTGTGTTCTTCTTGCGAATGTGTCTTTGATGACATATTTAAAGCGAGGGGGGGGGGGGGGGGGGGGGAAAAAAAGGAAAGAGAGAGAGAGCGGGTGGATGCGGATTTGTCCTGCCTTTAG